CACGGCCGGACGCTGGCTCACCGCATGCTTTCTGCCCTCGCCAGGTGCCGACACCAGCGCCGAGCCCATGATCCTGGAACAGTGTGTGGTGGTGTCCAACTACAAGAAGCAGGAGAACTCGGAGCTGAGCCTCCAGGCCGGGGAGGTGGTGGACGTCATCGAGAAGAACGAGAGCGGTGAGTGCGGCGGCCGGCTCCGGCTGCGCGGGGTTCTGTTCCTTCTCCTCCCCCACCTCTGCAGCTATACGTTATTTCCATCTGGCAGGGAGAAGCCGGGAGGCTGAGATTCCCCCTGTTGGTGTGGGCTGCAGGCCAGCAGCTTGCCTGGTGGTGGAAGAATGTCTCCCCGGCTCAAACAATTAACTGGCTTTTGTTAATGCGAGGGTGGGGTGGCAGCCTTAGGTGTAAGTGCCCAGCCTTCCCCGGGGACCTGTGCCATCCGAGGCCTGTGCGGAGGCTGGCTTTCAGCTAAGGGGAGCCCAACAGCAGCTTCCCCTGTTGGGGCAGACTTCCAAGCCAGGGTTGAGGCAGAGGCAGGAGAGCCCTGCTGGCTGGGGTGGGAGGAGGCAGGCCTGACGTCACCACGGGGTCCAGAGTCTCTAGGCCCCTGGTGAGCTGTCTGGCTGGTATCTGGGTAGTGAGCTGGAGTTCGCTAAGGGCCCAGGCCAGCGAGGGTCCTGCAGCAGCTGCTGTTCTTCGAGAGCTGGCACAGGGGCTCCCCGGAGGCGGCTGGGTCCCAGGTTCTTGCAGAGTGGGCCGGAGTGCCTGGGTCTCATGAGTCACAGCAAGTGGAGGAGGAGAGCCCGGTGGGCTCATGTGGCCCCGCAGGGCCAGGTCGGGCCCTGGTCCCGGGACATGGCTGGCAGCTCGCCTGCAGCCTGCTGGGCAGTTCATCCGGTTTCACTTTCAGTTTATTTGCTGGGGTCAGCCCCCATGCGCAGGGTCCTGGCCTGTGCCTGGTGGGCAGGCCCAGAGAGGCAGGCCTGTTCTGTCCTGGTCCCCTCGGTTCCCTTCTGGTGTTTTGAATCCCGCAAGGGAAGCCAACCAAAGAGCCGCCAGGCCATTCACTGATGGGCCGCAGCCGTGGGCAGGAGTCTCACGCGGGCGGAAGCAGCCTGGGTGTCCCTGGCACCTGACTGCTGCGCTCTGCCCGGTGCTGGGGTCCTGGCCGGGGTGGTCGGCAGCGACACCACCCACCTGGCCGTCTGAGTGCCTGGTGTAAGGCCTGGCCCTCGTCCCCAGGTGACTGTGATGGTCCCCTTTCTGCACACCTTTGTCCCACTCTGGTTCCTTCCGTGTCCCAAAGGAGGCTGGCACTGCTGGCTCTGTAGGCCTAAGCCCTGAGACCCAGAGAGAGGTACGAGGGAGAGGATGCTCGCTTGGCCAGAGAGACAGGCCTATCGGTGTAAGGTCAGTCCTTGCACATGCTGGCGTGGGGTCTCTACTGCCTCCCACCTAGCCTTCTGGCCACAGCTGTCCAGTCCCCTGCAGCAGGAGGTGGGGAGCCCTGGGGCCTTTGGGGTCAGCCACATTTGTAAAGAAGTTTGTCCTGCTTTAAGACTCCGTGATCCCCATGACCTCTTCCTGCCCCACCTCTGGCATCCTAGGAATATTTCGAGTCCTGCCTGGTGGTGGGGAAGGAGGGCCTAGGAAGGTCAGGAGTTGGCGTTGGGCCTGGACGTGGTGTGCGGACACCTGCTGTGCTCAGAGTTCCCCATGGCTGGTTGAGGAGCCCCTGCTCCCCCCGCTCCCAGTGCCACCTGTAGCAGCCAGCCTGGCGTGTAGGTTCTACGGGAAGATGCTGTCCCCACAGTAGGGATTCTGCCTGGGGCTCCCCCACATGGCCCCCATCCTGCTGGCACGTGGCTTCAGTTATCCCTTCTGTAAGACGTGGTGACCTTGTGGCCACTGGCGAAGGTGGCAGCAGAGCCCTCCCCCTGGTCTGACACTGACTGTGGCTGGGTAACTCAGGAGCAGCCTGGGCGTCAGGAGATATCCTTGGCTGTACGTGGCTTTTCTGCTTCTCTGGTGGACGCAGCTGCTCAGCCACAGATGTTTGCACAGGGTCCGGAAAAGTGCTGCGGTCCCCATGCAGACCTCTCCTGTCACCATCAGGAGCCAGGAGGCCTCAGGTTGGAGGCAGAGGGCTGAACTTCAGATCTGGGAGGTGGTGGAGGCCGCTGCGGGGGAGGGGACGCGCTGTGCATCCCATGGGGCTGGCTTGGGAAGGAGTGGTGAGTGAGGCTTTGAACTCTGGAACAAAGACCCGTTGTGATGCCTTTGACCTGGGACCGTGGGTGTGTTGAGGCGTTCCCACTGGCATTGTTGGGGCACCTCCTGGGCTTCCACCAGGTGCCAGGTCTCCGCCCTGTGCCTTCTTGCTTAGCTGGAAGTCTCAGGTGGCAGGGTCCATGCCTGCCCCTTGAAGTCTCCAGCAGTCTCCACCCTCTCTCTGGAGAGAGCTATCTGGGGAGTTCACCAGGTCCTGCTCCTCACAAAACCCTCCAGATTCGTGGACCAGCCCATGCATAGGAGGCACTTGAACCATTTTGGCGGAAGAAGTAGGCAGAGAAGTTAAGCAGTTTATCTTGGACTGGGAACTTGGAGGTCTGTCCCCTCTCCAGGGCCCTGGGGGATCCTGAGAACAGGCTGATCTGGAGCTGTGAGTCCAGCTGGGTTAGCTGAGATGCCTGCAGAGCTCCCAGCATCCTGGCTGGAGGACGTCTCTGCCACTGTGGTGCTCGTGGGCTGTGGTGGAACGTGAAGGGAGGAGGCAGCAAGACAGTCTGGAAGGTGATGTGTTCTCAGCACCGAGACAAGTTGGTCCATCGGAGACAAGAGACACTCAGGGTGGACCCAAGGAGCTTAGGGCAACGGCTTCTGATCAGTCAGAGGCCTGGGAGCCCCGTCGGGAAAGGACTCTTTTCCCCTCCATTGCACAACAGGGTCACACACACACAGAGAAGGATTAAACAGCCCTGTGGCTTTGCCACCCAGTGGGCCATGCCAGGGCATGCAGCGCCACTCTGGCTCTGTCTGTGGAAAGCCTCTGCTCTGACATGAGCGAGTGCCCGAGGTGCCTCCTTGGTAGGAATTCTCGTGCCTCAGAGACCACGTTGGCCTCACCCCCGCAGGTCTCCCGTCTGCAGAGCAGTGATGTCAGGGGCTGGCCGCTCTGACTTCTGTGTGAGCAGAGCTGCCTCCAACTTTCCAGGGTTGTTTCCTCCTCAGGACTGCAGGCCAGGGCAGGAAGGAGGGAGATGAGTCAACCGAATTTTTCCTGCCTCAGCTTTCCTGCTCTGAGTCTCTGCTTATTTCCTGGCCCTGACGTGATAGCCTACGGATTCTTGCACTCTCTCGGAAGCAAGGAATCGAGCTCCTCTGGTATAGCCACGTATTTTACCAGTAAGAAAACTGAGCCTTCAGTCTCTTCCCCCCTTTTCAAATCCAGTACTTAGGTCTTAGTTGAGCTGTGAGCAGAGGGTAGAAACTCACTCTCTCGACTCAAGAGATTATTGGAAGGGTGCAGAGATGTCTCACTGGACCCAAAACTGAGAAGTAGATCCCAGCCTCAGGGGATGGGACCAGAACAGAAAGTTGGTGCAAGACAGAGCAGCTAGGCTGTCTCTGTGTCTCGCTTGGGTACTGCGTGGACCCAAAGCATAGCTGTGAGCTTCTCCTGACTAGAAGCCAGCCTTGCCTCCTCTTCCTCTTAAGCCAAGACCCCAGTCTGTTATGTGGTGCTGGTTGTCAGCACCAGACTCTGTAACTCTCAGCAACTGACTGTGACCTCTGGTTCTCTGAGTTCAAAATACCAAGTTTGAACTGGGTGCAGTAGTACGTGTCTATAGAACCAGCTGTTGGAGATGCTGAGGCAACAGGAGCACTTGAGCCTATGAGTTGGAAACCTCTGGAAAACAGAACAAGACCCCATCTCTTAAAAAAAAAAAAAAAACGCAGTTTGAATCTGATTGGCTCCTGGTCATGCAATGGATTAGTGCAGCTTGGATTCGCCATCCAGCCCTTGTCCAGTCATCCGCGTTCAGGAGAAGCATCACACGGTACCTAGCACACGTGGCTACCTGGCTAACCTTAGCCGTGGCTGTTGAGAGATTTTAAAGGGCACTTGAGGGTCTGGTACCCAAAATAACAGTGGCTGTAGCCACTTCCTTGTTTAGGAGCTGTATGCGCAATGAAGAGAACAGAGAATTTGTAATTCAGATTCTGGACCTAACACCTATACTGTGGGCTAGGGGTGTAGCTCCGTGGTACAGTTCTTGCCTAGCTGGGTGCAAACCCCTGGTTCAATCCCCAGCACCACAAAAAGGAAAGAAAAAGATCTCTCTGGTGCTAACTATGTGCTATAGGTAAGAATCACTTCATGTCCTCTGGGGTAAAAGGGGCTGGTGATATACAAGGTTGGATTGTTTGTTTGTTTGTTTGTCTTTAAGGGTGAAATGCGCGCTCATTCATTCATTTCTTCACTAATTTATTTTACAGTTTTTAACATTTCCTTTGTCCCGGGCCCTGTGCTAATTGGGTATACACTCTGGGCCTCTGTGAACCTTAGCGACTGATATGAGATCCTGGCACTTGTAGGGTGGACTGTACCATGAGGGTGGAATAGCTTTCCAGACTTTCCAGGGTCATAGGTGGACTCTGAGGTGTGTGTGTCTTTTGTTTAGATTTTGTGCTTACTAAGGAAGCACCTGTATTAGTCAGCTTCCCCATGCTGGGACGATGCCTGCCACCCACACCTTAAGGAGGAGAGCTTTATTTGGCTCAGAGTTTCAGAGGATTCAGTCCATGTCCAGCCATTTCCAAGGTGGAAACATCATGGTGGGAGGGCAAGGCAGAGCAAAGCTGCTTGGTTCATGGTGTTCGGGAGAAAAGAAGTGAGGGACCAGATATGGACCCCAAAGCCAACTCCGTGACCCAGCCAGACACACCCAGAAGTGTGCTTTACTAATATCCTGAGCTGCTCCCAAGCCAAGTGACATTTAAGCTTAACTGTCACACACATGATTGCTAATTCAGATTTCCAAGCTATATAGCTCCTAGAAAACTAGTGTCCCAATAAAGATTGGATAGGCCATTTCTAGAAAAGCAGGTTTATTACAGTCTACGTTGCAGATCTCTGAAATGGCCTTGTAAGAGTTTGGTTCCCATGAACCATT